AAAAATTCTTCTTTTTGGATATTGTGGAAATTTCAATTTTGGGAAGCATCTTTTGAGCATTCTTTCGGAAGCAATTCTTTATCTTTTATGGAAATTTTGTGAAATCTCACAGTGGGTAGTGTTTATACTGCAGAAGATGTTTTTATTCTTCGAAAAGAAGACTCTGCAAGCAAACTGTGGTCTCGCTGGTTGTCGCGGCTCGCGATGCAAGCCACTCCTCGAAACAGGAGGCCGGGAGCGCTGGCTATCGCGTTACTTGGCGCGCTTTCAAGATCGCGCCAAGACCTCTCCTGCTGGGCGCGTTGCCAAGTCACAGGGTATATAAGGGCGCGCAGGCCGCGGTCTACGCCTCCTCGAGTTTCGTTCGTATTGATCGTTTTATGAGATCGTTCGTGCTGGCAGCGCCTCCAGCAGCTCCCGCAGATGATCATCGGTTTCGAGCGGTTGAGCTTTTGTCATCGTCTTGGTTTTGGAGACGCGCAGCCAAATGTCATGGTTTGTTTTGCGTAGGATGTATACTAGCGGGAGTGGAGAGGGGTCACACCGTCCCGGAAGGGCTAGGGGCTTGCGGTTGACCCAGCGGAGAGCCCGGAACTACGCGTTGGAGTGATCATCACCGAGCATCGGCAACACGGGACAAGGCGGCTCGTCCCGTGCCTAACTTTTCCTGATTTTAGAGTAGTAGTTTGGTAGCTTTAGTAGTTTTTTTGTAGTTTTAGTAGTTTAGTAGTGTTAGTTGTTTATTGTTGTATATTTGTAGATAAATGTAATCTGAATTAGTCGGTCCTTTTCTTTCTCAGCGTTACGCGCTATCTGTTGTGCCGTTCATACTTGTAGGGGGTAGTCCTCGGCAGCGGCCGTTAAGGCGTCGCGAACCTTGACGGACGCGCGACATCGTAGGGGACAATAGGGGTTAGGTGTAGCTGCGGCGAGCACTTGCGGAAGGTGCTGATCACACCGAGCCGCCACATGGTGCATCGACGCCGAGCGCATGGTGGATGGCGGTTTTGCCGCCCCGCGTATGGAGATGGGTAGCCGCGCGCCTTGGTTGCGGCTAGGTAGGTAACATCGGCGTTTCAGGTAAGGTTTCAGGTAGGTCTCTCTGCGCTAAGTTATCCCATCCTCCATGCGTGCGTAACGAACCCTGTGTCTACCACGTTCAGCACCTAGTAGGAAGATCCAGGCAAGCAGGGAGACGCGCTTCTCGTCTTCGTAGCCAGTAGTGGTCTACAGAGGCTAGCCAGGCTAACATCGTGGGCAGCGCGTGGGGTAGTGGTAAGGTGGCAGCTTGCCAACTAACCCCCGAGCTCAGCGCGTGGACTCACTCGATTCCTGGTCAGCCACCGCGCCAGAGAGGCTGTAGGAGTGACGGGCCGGCGTCGTCATTGGCGGGCTCGACCAAGGACCAGCAGCTGCAATAGTGTCGAGTTTCAACAAAGGATAAGGCAGGTAAGTGGAATAGGTTTTTTTCAGGTTTCAAGGACGCACGGATTTCGGACGCGGATCGGAAGGCACACACGGCGCCATCCTTAGCAGGAGAGTGAACCGGGGATAGGTAACTGGGTTTTCGGGCTAGGTAAGGGGGTCTAGGATAGGTTAGCAAGGATGTGGCTTAGGTATAGGGTACAATCTAGGTAAGGGGGTAGGTTCGGGATAAGGCTTAGGTTAAGGGGGCAGGGATTTTAGATAGGTTTAGGAGGGTAACTGGGTTCTCTTTAGGTAGGTGAGGGGGTTTAGGATCGGGGGGATGGGTTAGGTTAACAGGGCTAAGTTTGGTTTTTAGGTGGGTTAGGTAAGGGTATACTTTATTGGGGTTCAAGCTAGGCTAGGTAGGTAAGGCATCTAGGTTAGGCCGCGCGGATAGGTAGGTAAGGTACTCACGTTAGGTAAAAGGCATAGGTAGGTAAGGTATTTAGGTTAGGTAAATAAAGGCGCGGCAAATAGGTAGGCAATTCATATTTTTTCAGTTTAGGTAAGGCATGTTCTTTAGGTTTAGGTAGGCAAATAGCGGTTCACTCGCCCATGGGTTCTGCGAACCCCTCCAGGTCGCCAAGCTGGAGCCTCCTACAGTGTCTACACTGGCCTCCGGTCGGTTACTTGCTCTGCTAGTTCTGTTACACGCGTTTCACTTAGGTGCCGCGCTAGGCTCTTAGACGGACGCGTTGTCGTAACTGCTTGTCTTGCGCCCATCATTCTCCCTACCGCCGTTGGACTACCCCGTTTTCTTTAGGTTTTAGCACATGATGTAGGTTGGGCCGATTCGTTTATGCTATTCACTTCATGTTTATCTTGGGGGGTTCTAGTTATAGTTTTTACTCGCTCACCTCGTTGTATTTTTGAAATTGCGTTTCTGCTCTGTCATGTTTCAGGTAATGTCGCAACTCGGTGCGCAAAAAGCCCAGCTAACTAAGGCCGCCAATACACTGCGCAGGAAGATCGCGGAAGTCGACCAGGCCAACCTTGATTTTGTGGACTTTGCTTCGGAGGCGAGTAAAGATCCACATTTGATTTTCAATCGTTTGAATTTGCTTTTCATTTCGCTTTCTTCTGTTAGTCGTGCTGCCTCCGCCCTACGTGGCCAGTTGGAGAAAGCCGAAGAGTTTGCTCGCCGGAATCTCGACGAGCGTGGAGAGTTCCCTTTCCTCTCTGACATCCATACTCATTGGGAAACCGGTGGGATGGATGGCATTCTGGAGGAAGTGGATGCTCTTCTCGTTCGCTTGGATTCAGCGATCAAACATCTTTCTAATTTGGGAGGCCCTTATCAGTCTTTTGTATCTGTTGCTCCATCCTTGTCGCGCAGTCCACCTCCCCATACTGTTCAGGATCCTATTTTGCCCCATCAGCCCGCGCAACAGGCGGAGGAGGAAGCCGGCCCTCATTCTCCGTCACAGGCCCAGGATCGTCCACCTGATCCCATTGCACCGCGCGCTGACCAGTGTTCCCCTGGGAGCCGTGATGACGCGCAACCCTCGGGTGGATTTGGCTTTTCCTCGGGTAACCCTCCCTCGAATCCCACCCATTTTTTGCATTTCCCACTGGGGCTTCCAAAATCTTCACCAAATCCCTTTTTGCATAACCCCCAGTCTTCAACCTTTTCACCCCCTAACCCTGTTTCTCCCTTGGAGCAACCCGTAAAGCCGCCTTCTTATGGGATCCCAATTTTCAACGGCGACATCGAAGCATTCTCCGAATTCTGGGACATTTTTTTCGCAGCCGTGCATAACAGTAACACCGTCTCGGCAGTAGTCAAGTTTATGTACTTGAAGTCGGTCCTCGAAGGAGATGCTGCCCGAATCATCGCAGGCTTGAAGCCAACGGCCAAGAATTACGACACTGCAGTACGCACCTTACTCGATACGTACGATCGTCCTGAAATCTTGAAAAGTCGTCTCTGGGACAAGTTGATACAGCAACCACCGGCATTAGATTCTGCGGATTCTCAACGCGCTACACTTCGCGCGCTGCAGGAGACTTGGTACCAGATGAAGAAAGTGAACGAGAATTCCAGTTCGATCGCTACGTTAAGGACGATTCGTTTTAAATTTCCCTGGCGTACGCGCGAGAAAGTCGGCGAACTGAAGGACGAAGGTGACACTTCGTGGACTGTGGACGAGCTGTTGACAACCCTAGGTACGGTTATTGATAGATTACAAGTGGAAGAGGAGTCCGACCTTGCAAGTCACCGTGCGTACAACTCGGATTCTACGGTTCGCCAGCTTTCTCCTTTCCCGCATAGATGTCCTAGCACGAGCCAGCCGTATGTGAGGTACCTCCCGTACCAGCCACAATATCACCCTCGGTACGCGCATAGCTCGTGCCCACCATCTGGATATCCCGACGTCATTTATAGACCTTTGACACCTTACTACCCGCGGCGCGAATTATGTAGCTCTGCCAGACCACAGTACACCACACCATGGGAGCCTCGCTGTGCCTTCTGTCGTCGTTATGGACATGTTTCGGAGTGTTGTACCGTATCACCAGACGTGCAACAGAGGAGACAGCTTGTCAACCAGTATAGACTGTGTTGGCTATGTCTCGAAGAAGGTCACATTTTTAGCATTTGCAGAGCTCCAGCGTGCAAGTATTGTGGCAGGTTACATCATCCAGCCTTATGCGCTACGTCACCATCAGCGCCCTATCCTTCGTACCCGCTTGCGCAATTCCATCAGCGCTTTCCTTCACCCAGGCGCGTCCAGTTCGAGGAAATAGTGCGTTCTTCGCTACCTCGCTGTTAGTACGCGAGCCCATGCACTTCTTCGTTGCGCCAAACCACATTTAAGTCGCCATTTCCATCTAGGCGACAGTCGCGTTCCAACATCAGACGCGCTACTCATTTAAGATTTTTGAGTTCTTTCCCCGCTGTGCGAACTTCATCTGCACTTCAGTCGCGCATGACCAACAAGTTAGACGAGCCTGTAGAGCTGCTAGATCAACACGAAGCTAGCGTAGGGCCATATTCATTTTCACTCTGTACATCCGTGTGCCAAGCTGCTTCTGGAACTCAAGCTTCGTCTAATAGTGGTCTATGCTATGACTCGCAACCTTTAAGACCGATACAGATGAGCCACTCACTCTCTTTCCCGAGGTAGTGGTTCACAGTACGGTTTCATTCACATCGCTGCCATTCCATCGTGCCTGACGTTCAAGGATATAAGAACTGTCACGACTCCGACCTTCGCAGGACATTATTCACCGAAGACTCGCCAGAAGTCGCACTTACATTATGGGACCTGCTTATTCGTTCAATCCAACTTCAGTTTTGGACGCGCGATGCCATAACAACGGTCCCGAAGGCGAACTATCTGGATGAGACGATAGAGTCGAAGTCGCTGTTCTCGCAGGAATTGACAACCACTGACGCGCTATAGATTTGCAAAGGAAAGAGAAGCTTCCATCAAGCCTCATCCTTTTGCATACACGGTTTGGACCAGTTCTACCAGGCCTTAGTTGCCCAGTGGTAACGGAGACTACTAGTTTGGCTACGACTCTACTTGATGACGACGAGCAAGGAACGGGACAACTTTTACGAGGTTTCCTTGGACATAAGTCCCATTGTAACACCGGGTGACTTTTCAGCTGCTGAGTTGATCGTTATCCGCGAGCATTATCGCGAGGTTCCTCAGCAGTTACACGGCTCTCAGCTGAAGAAACTCCGCACGAGGCAGGAAGGAGACGGAACAGTACGCGTGGACTTACGTATGGCGAACGCAGAGACGAGCGGGACGGCGAAGAGCCCGATCCTCGTACTCTCAGGTCACCCCCTTTGCGCCATGCTAATAGCTCATTATCATCAGAAGCTGTTCCACGCTGGTACTTCCCATTTGATCGTCGCCTTACGCGAGAGGTTCTACATCCCCAGGCTTAAACGCATGGTAAAATCGACTATTGCTAGATGTGTGACGTGCAAGCGGTACCAAGGGCCTCTTTTCGCATATCCACGTTCACCAGATCTTCCTCCGGAACGGGTCGTTCGGAGTCGTCCTTTCCAGAACATCGGACTCGACTATTTTGGCCCCATCTCAATCCGTCTACAGCAAGGCACTCTTCACAAGGTTTGGGTTTGTCTCTTCACGTGCATGTCTACGCGCGCGCTACACCTCGAAGTAGTCAAGGACAACTCAACCTTCCAGTTTCTCCTAGCATTTAGAAGATTCATCGCGCGTAGAGGAGCTCCTGACACCGTCATAAGCGACAACGCGCCCACGTTCAAGCTAGGAAGGGAGATCATCACTAATAACCTGAAGGAAGTAGCGGAAGATTCCCTAGTGGACGGATTCGTTGAAAGCCAGAACATCAACTGGAGTTTCATCACACCATACTCGCCGTGGAAAGGTGGATTCTACGAGCGTTTGGTAGGATCAGTGAAGAGCTGTTTGAAGAAGACGGTTCGGCGAGAAACCCTTGATTTATGGCTTTTTGAGACGCTCATCCTCGAGATAGAGGCCGTTCTTAACACGAGACCCTTATTTCCGGCGAATTCGGCTGACCTGAACACGGACCTGGTGATAAGACCTATAGATCTGATAAATCCACAGTTTCGATTAGGTCGCCTGACGTACAGCATGCCTCAGAAGATCGAGACGTCGTCGCGCGACCACTACGAATCTCTTCAAACGCAGGACGACTCTTACAGATCGATTTTGATTACTTCTGGGATATATCGCACAGTCAACATCTTACCGCGCTCGCAGGACGATAAGCGACGCGCACCCAGAAATACTCTTGTAGCAATGGATCGCCGCGCGTCGGAGATATAGTACTGATAGGAGAACAGGATTTGTTAAGATATAGATGGTTTTTTTGGTTTAGTCCTGCAGTCACACACCTTACCTAATGGCAATGTAAGATCAGCCGGAGTCAAGATTGGAAAGCGAAGGATAGTGAATCGTGCATCCATTTACCTACTGCCGTCAGAAATCAGCTAGGCATCGGGGATAGTTAGACGAACGCACATGAGCATAAGGAGACACGGATCAGACCATCGGGAACTGTGGAAGTAAAACGATAGCGAAGGTCATCATTCTATAGACGTATGTTGTTACTGTTAGTTGTTATATTTGTTATTTGTTGATTTGTTTTGTTGTTCATTGTTACTTTGTTATTCCTTTGTTTTGTACGTGTGTAGTATGATGTATGCGCGAGGACGCGCCTATCGGTTTTGCTTCAATCTGTGGACATTTGTGTTATGTGTTTGTTTTTCAATAAACTAGCTGTCGATTCACTTGATCGCTTACATGGACTTGTCAATTACCCTGATACGACCTTTTTACCCGATCATGACTTTCTCTGTGCCTATATATTTCCAGCGCCAGAGCCAGGGATTTGGATTTTCCCGAATCAGTCTTCGACTTCACCCAGCCAGGTTCAATATCCTCTACGCCGTATCCAACGTCCGGTATTTTTTCAACGCACGCGCAAGTTTCTTTTGGAACAACCGAGGTTAAGCGTAAGTGTCTACGTGTTTTGTATATCTTACCTTTCGTTGCACATACGCGCTTTAGGTATTGGAAGAGCTTGCTACCCTTTTTTGGTTGCGCGCATTTACTAACCGTGTGCCTTTGTGCAGTTTGCGTAGAGGAGCCCGCGCATTAACATCGTTGTCGTGGGAGGCTGGACTGAAGTCCATTTTTTAACATCTGTAGCCTGTGCGATTGTGTTTTTCATTGTTATCTCTATGTATCAGGTCCCCAATCGCGCATGGGAGGAAGCGCTCGCAAGCCTCGGTAACATCATTTCAGACGTGAGTGCAGGAATATGGGACCTTCAGGGTAGGTAGTGCGTCAACACCACCATGGACGCGGATTGTTTCGGTATGTATGGTCCGATTTTGTGTGATTTTGACCTCGTAAATAATGTGTGTTGCAGAATTGTATCATTTGGTTGTGCACACTTGGTCACGGTGGTTGTTTAAACGCGCATGCCTCGTTGTCAACTCCATGGCACCAACAACAGCTACTGCCCACGTATCTACCTGCCCAAAAATCACATCAGTTGGTTCACCTTCACTAACCGTGGATGTTTAGCTATTTTTACCATCCTTCTTAGCTGTATTTTGTTTTATGTTATCATCCATAGTTTTATTTGGCGCGTCGTGCGCATCGGTGTACAGCTGTATCAAGTATTGGAGCGCGATAGCGCCTTTGTGAAGGTGTCGCATTTTTGCACGGGTCGAGTTGTTCAATTTCCTTTGTCGCGCGCCCCTACTGTGCTGTCGATGGCGACGTTTCTTTTTGGGCCATACTCAGTTAGGTGTTCTCCGTTGTGGACTCCAGCGCTATCACGTAACCACCATCCGAACGTCCAAGCCACTGTTTCGGGGGGGAGTGTCGCGGCTCGCGATGCAAGCCACTCCTCGAAACAGGAGGCCGGGAGCTGGCTATCGCGTTACTTGGCGCGCTTTCAAGATCGCGCCAAGACCTCTCCTGCTGGGCGCGTTGCCAAGTCACAGGGTATATAAGGGCGCGCAGGCCGCGGTCTACGCCTCCTCGAGTTTCGTTCGTATTGATCGTTTTATGAGATCGTTCGTGCTGGCAGCGCCTCCAGCAGCTCCCGCAGATGATCATCGGTTTCGAGCGGTTGAGCTTTTGTCATCGTCTTGGTTTTGGAGACGCGCAGCCAAATGTCATGGTTTGTTTTGCGTAGGATGTATACTAGCGGGAGTGGAGAGGGGTCACACCGTCCCGGAAGGGCTAGGGGCTTGCGGTTGACCCAGCGGAGAGCCCGGAACTACGCGTTGGAGTGATCATCACCGAGCATCGGCAACACGGGACAAGGCGGCTCGTCCCGTGCCTAACTTTTCCTGATTTTAGAGTAGTAGTTTGGTAGCTTTAGTAGTTTTTTTGTAGTTTTAGTAGTTTAGTAGTGTTAGTTGTTTATTGTTGTATATTTGTAGATAAATGTAATCTGAATTAGTCGGTCCTTTTCTTTCTCAGCGTTACGCGCTATCTGTTGTGCCGTTCATACTTGTAGGGGGTAGTCCTCGGCAGCGGCCGTTAAGGCGTCGCGAACCTTGACGGACGCGCGACATCGTAGGGGACAATAGGGGTTAGGTGTAGCTGCGGCGAGCACTTGCGGAAGGTGCTGATCACACCGAGCCGCCACACTGGTAGTATAATCGAAACTTTTTGAAGTTTTTTGTGACGATTTTCTGATAATCTTAAATTAGGAAGCGTTTCCTGCACAAAATGCACTTCTGCCCAAATCTCTGCTAGCAAACTGTGGTCTCACTGGTATGGGGGTCAGAACATTTGAGCGCCAAGAATTCTTTCGTAAGTAGCTCTTTATCTTTTATGGAAATATCGTGAAATCTCACAGTGGGTAGTGTTTATACTGCAGAAGATGTTTTTATCCTTCGAAAAGAAGACTCTGCAAGCAAGCTGTGGTCTCGCTGGTAATATAATTGAAATTTTTTAAGCTGGATATTCAAAAAATTCTTCTTTTTGGATATTATGGAAATTTCAATTTTGGGAAGCATCTTTTGAGCATTCTTTCGGAAGCAATTCTTGATCTTTTATGGAAATTTCGTGAAATTTCACAGTGGGTAGTGTTTATACTGCTGAAGATGTTTTTATCTTTCGAAATGAAGACTCTTCAAGCAAGCTGTGGTCTCGCTGGTAATATAATTGAAATTTTTTAAGCTGGATATTCAAAAAATTCTTCTTTTTGGATATTATGGAAATTTCAATTTTGGGAAGTATCTTTTGAGCATTCTTTCGGAAGCAATTCTTGATCTTTTATGGAAATTTCGTGAAATTTCACAGTGGGTAGTGTTTATACTGCAGAAGATGTTTTCTTTCGAAATGAAGACTCTGCAAGCAAACTGTGGTCTCGCTGGTAGTATAATCGAAACTTTTTGAAGTTTTTTGCGAAGATTTTGTGATAATCTCAAACTAGGAAACTTTTCCTGCAGAAAATGCACATCTGCCCAAATCTCTGCTAGCAAACTGTGGTCTCACTGGTATGGGGGTCAGATCTTTTGAGAGCTAAGCCTTCTTTCGTAAGTAACTCTTTATTTTTTACGGAAATTTCGTGAAATCTCACAGTGGGTACTGTTTATACTGCAGAAGATGTTTTTATCTTTCGAAATGAAGACTCTTCAAGCAAACTGTGGTCTCGCTGGTGGTATAATCGAAACTTTTTAAGCTGAATATACAAAAAATTCTTCTTTTTGGATATTGTGGAAATTTCAATTTTGGGAAGCATCTTTTGAGCATTCTTTCGGAAGCAATTCTTTATCTTTTATGGAAATTTTGTGAAATCTCAGAGTGGGTAGTGTTTATACTGCAGAAGATGTTTTTATCCTTCGAAAAGAAGACTCTGCAAGCAAACTGTGGTCTCGCTGTAGTATAATCGAAACTTTTGAAATTTTTTGTGAAAATTTTCTGATAATCTCAAATTAGGAAGCGTTTCCTGCACAAAATGCACTTCTGCCCAAATCTCTGCTAGCAAACTGTGGTCTCACTGGTATGGGGGTCAGAACGTTTGAGCGCCAAGAATTCTTTCGTAAGTAGCTCTTTATCTTTTATGGAAATTTCGTGAAATCTCACAGTGGGTAGTGTTTATACTGCAGAAGATGTTTTTATCCTTCGAAAAGAAGACTCTGCAAGCAAGCTGTGGTCTCGCTGGTAATATAATTGAAATTTTTTAAGCTGGATATTCAAAAAATTCTTCTTTTTGGATATTATGGAAATTTCAATTTTGGGAAGCATCTTTTGAGCATTCTTTCGGAAGCAATTCTTGATCTTTTATGGAAATTTCGTGAAATTTCACAGTGGGTAGTGTTTATACTGCTGAAGATGTTTTTATCTTTCGAAATGAAGACTCTTCAAGCAAGCTGTGGTCTCGCTGGTAATATAATTGAAATTTTTTAAGCTGGATATTCAAAAAATTCTTCTTTTTGGATATTATGGAAATTTCAATTTTGGGAAGCATCTTTTGAGCATTCTTTCGGAAGCAATTCTTGATCTTTTATGGAAATTTCGTGAAATTTCACAGTGGGTAGTGTTTATACTGCAGAAGATGTTTTCTTTCGAAATGAAGACTCTGCAAGCAAACTGTGGTCTCGCTGGTAGTATAATCGAAACTTTTTGAAGTTTTTTGCGAAGATTTTGTGATAATCTCAAACTAGGAAACTTTTCCTGCAGAAAATGCACATCTGCCCAAATCTCTGCTAGCAAACTGTGGTCTCACTGGTATGGGGGTCAGATCTTTTGAGAGCTAAGCCTTCTTTCGTAAGTAACTCTTTATTTTTTACGGAAATTTCGTGAAATCTCACAGTGGGTACTGCTTATACTGCAGAAGATGTTTTTATCTTTCGAAATGAAGACTCTTCAAGCAAACTGTGGTCTCGCTGGTGGTATAATCGAAACTTTTTAAGCTGAATATACAAAAAATTCTTCTTTTTGGATATTGTGGAAATTTCAATTTTGGGAAGCATCTTTTGAGCATTCTTTCGGAAGCAATTCTTTATCTTTTATGGAAATTTTGTGAAATCTCAGAGTGGGTAGTGTTTATACTGCAGAAGATGTTTTTATCCTTCGAAAAGAAGACTCTGCAAGCAAACTGTGGTCTCGCTGTAGTATAATCGAAACTTTTGAAATTTTTTGTGAAAATTTTCTGATAATCTCAAATTAGGAAGCGTTTCCTGCACAAAATGCACATCTGCCCAAATCTCTGCTAGCAAACTGTGGTCTCACTGGTATGGGGGTCAGATCTTTTGAGAGCTAAGCCTTCTTTCGTAAGTAACTCTTTATTTTTT